ACAGACAGCCTCTTCCCAATATGCGTTTTTGCAATTTGCATATATGCAAAAACGCATAAAAATCCAAATGGCTGTCCAATGGATTCTTCCGCCCCTCCTCCTCGTTTGAGACTTCGCCGTATTCTTTTAACATTGCATTGGCGGCTTCGCCGTGTTTTTTTAAGCACAGTGTGTTCGGGCTGTCAGTCGAAAATCCATGAGCAATAATCATTTCATTTTAGGTCGCTAAGTACATTCGATCACGGATCCACCGGCAATAAATATATGAATTTTATACCATTTTGGGTCTTTCTTGTTTATGAGAAGTGGATTAAACACTTGATCAACGGTTTTATTAAGCATACACATAAAATCTATTCACGCATCCAAAAGGTTATTCGCCAGCATTCACTTTATTTCTTATAACCGAAATAAGCACAAAACTGTGGCAACTCCTTTACCTCAAAGTTCAATCACGTGATATTTAATCTTCGTGGACAGCGTGGTCCCCTACATTCTGGCTCTGTACAACGGTTTTTAGAATGACAGCAATGACAAATGCTGTGGCGCTTAGTGATTAATGCCTTAGTATGCTGTCCATAAGCGATCAACAAATTGTCCGTTTTTCGGCATATTTCGGCACGAATGTAGGCGAATCTGTTGTCGCTATGCAGCACAGTGCTATTCACTACAATCGTATCACCCAGCTCAGCGCAATTCGGGTAGCTAAAATCGCACAGGAAATGCAGTACCTATAGGACAATGAAGTTATTAGTGAAGATATATATTAAAAATAATATTAAAAATATTAAAAAAAAAATTGATGAGCAAAAATGTTTCGATCCATTAAATAGTACACACATCCCTATTCAGTGTTACAACTGGAACTCATCAATATTACGAATATGGTTCCTTGATATGTGCATAAGATGCAGCGTGAATATAAATATGTACAAGAGATAATGGGAATATAAATGTACATGGGAGGGTAATATGCTCAAAAATTCCAAAACTTAATTTTTTAATTGAAAAATCTGGTCTATTGTCAATATCAAAACTATGATTTAGTATTTTTAAGAGTTTGACTTCACTAACTCTCAACTCAGGCGAGAAAACTGCCAGTAGCTTCCATTAATAAAAAGTTAAAAAGGAGAATTTTTATGTCTGTCAAAGCATTTTTGAGTTTTTCGCTGAAATTCGATTACTTTTCGGTTGCGTTTGTTTTTACAAGAAAGCTAACGACATTGTCAAATCCACGGTGACGCCTGGCATACCGACCTAACTAGCGGCCGGTGCAGGTGTGGTTACGATGTCGACCAGTGTTGCCAGACAACCCTCACACAAGTGTCCCAGTGAATTCAGATGCTCCTTAGATACATCCATTTCAGTTTTAACATTTCCTTCACCGGCTGACAGTACTTGACATTGAAACAGAGTTCAGCAGTTTTCAGTCAAACCTATCTTTTGTAGTCGAAGATTTCTATGGATATGGGAGGGAAAAAAGATACCTTATCCCCCGACAATTTTGCTGTCGGTGAAATTCAATAGATAGCATGAACGAGACAATTTTAAATGGCTTTGAGAAATATTATACTGCACAAAACAACCAGATGGTCTCAAATGCTTTTCAGCGTCCCAGTAGAGTGAGCAGGGTGTCCATGTTCTTTTTCGAGAAATCCGAGAAAATCTAATTCGACATCTTATACACCTGTCTGAATATCCTAGCTTATCATACGTATGCGATATCCGCTTGCAGAAGTTTTTCAGTATACT